TCAGAGAGCAAAGCTTTGGTCAAGGTGCTGCTTGCTCTTCTAATGGAAGTGGAATTTTGTCAGCAACGTTATTTTTGGAGAATGAGTCTCCTTTGGGCCATTTGCCTTGGCACAAATAAATTAAAAAAAAAAAAAAAAAGATAAAAAATAATCATTATATGAGGCCCTGTATGAGCAACCTTGGTTGTCTATGACAGCAGCCAAGGGCAGGCTGCTCTCGGTTCCGGAGTTCATCTGGAGGATGTTCTCTCGAATGTTCAGGGCTGGAGACCTTCTCCTTCGGATGAGGAACTGGCCCCTCTCACCAGGCAGGTGTTGATCTCATGTTCCTGAGAGTTAATGAGAGGAGTGGGAAATCCACGTGCGGATTTAGCACACAGCAAAGAGCAGAGAGGCTTGCTTCAAGTAGGAGTAGCGTGCGTTACGTGTACATGTGGTCCTGGGGATGTAGAAGATAAATGTGCGGGTGCTGGTGAGCGATGCGGACACTTTTCTCCTCGAGCATTTCTGTGAACGGCAGAATGGTTTTGCAAATGATACTGGGATGTGTAAAACCGTGTTCTGAAACTTGGCAAAATGCCTTCTCCCTCAGTTTTTAAGGCTGGATCTGTTCATCCCGTCCTTCCACACACCAAATCCTAAAGCAGCCTAGGCGGGAGCTCTCTGGAGGCTTCCTTGCTGGCCCGTTACATGGAGAGGATTATCTGGAGTGCTTGGTGAAGTATGTGGCCAGGGGGAATGGTTGCCTCTGGTGGTATGAGTCTCCTTCTGTGCTGGGACTGGACTTCTCGAACTCTGAAGTTGTAACCTTGGTCACCTCAGAAAGTGCCGCTGCCTGCCCTTGGCAGTGCTTCCTCCTGGCGGGCTACATCGTGGGCAAACGAGAAATGTTCTTGGTTAAAATGGGTTTTCACTTTCTTACCAAGTGTTGCTGGTAAGAACCAGCGGTACTGACTGCGGCAGTACTGACAAAAGAGAATGAGTTGCATTGGTTTTATTTTTGGAGTTAGTAAGTGTCTGATAAAATATGTTACAGTACTGTTATGGGATCTAATGGTAAGGTTTCTTTGTACTTGTTTAGCATTGCGTTATATTTGAAGGTTTGTTCGTCATCTCTGAGCCATCGTTGCTCTGTAAGAGGAGGAGTGGGTTTCACTACGGATAAAGGGTGCTCTGAGCCCATACTTGCAAAGATGAGGCACACATGTATTTTTACATCATGAGAAGCACTGTTGTGTGGAGTTAAACACCCTGCATATTGCATCCCCTCCCTAGGCCCAAATCTGGAGTCTGTATTTAGGGATTAAAACCACCCCTTCAGAATTTCCTGGAGTTTAGCTAAATGAGGTACAGTTTTGCTACGCATAGCATGTTTTGTGATACAAATTTGTACTTCATAGGAGTACAAAAATAAGTCGTACTGTTGCCAATTTCAGTTTTCCTATTAAGTTGGCATGTCTGACTCATATGTTCTGTCTTGTTTTGAATCAGAAACAGATACCCAAGGAAGTGGCTGACATCTTTAATGCCCCCAGTGACAATGAAGATTTTCTGGGGTTCCAAGATGATGCTTCCAGACAGAGGTTGTTGTCAGAGGACAGCTATGCTAGTTTTAATTCCCTGGATTCAGGCAAAAAGGTAGGAACGGATTGCCCAGTTAACGCTCTTTCGGTGCAGTAGTACTCTGAGATTGTGTCAAGGCTGCATGAGCCATAACTCGCAGCAAAACCCATAATCTGCAGTCCTCATATTGAAAATAAATGTAAACAAACTTGTTATCCTTTTTAGGTTTTGATGATTGCTTTTAAAAACTCTTTCATAATATAAGGAAAATGGGTTTCATGAGAAGGTGAGTTTCAGTGAAGTCGGTAAGTGAAGCAAACAGAAGAGACAACTACCATCCTGGGCTGGTGTGCTCTGGATACATAAGACAGTGGAAATGCATGGTAATAGATGGGTTTTGTGAGTATGCAGACTTCAAGGTATTTCTTCCAGAAATTTATATCAGTGCTGTTTCTGCAATAATTTATATTAGTGCTTTTTCTGCGTTAAAATTGCTGTTTTAGTGGTGGTGACCCACAGAAACCATCAGCTCCTGCTTCGATTGTGAGGTTTGCTGGTTCTCTGCTCTCTTAAAGGTGAAGTAGCTTGGATCAGCATAATGTTTTGATGTTTTTCATTCTCTGACTTGGTAGCTGGAGGCACCAGCTGAATTCACAAGAAAGGAAGAGAACTGGTGTGCTGTCTTGGCTGCCAGAAAATTTAGTTTTTAGTCTTTTAGAAGCTTGTAATTATATACTTGATAGATATGGACTAATGGGCTAAAAGATACCCTTGTCAGTTGTGCTCTCAAAAGGGTTCTTCCGTTCCATTAATAAAAAAATTGAAAATGTCTTTTTTTCTTTTGCTTGGTTTTTCTTTTGCTTTTGCTTTGTCCATCAGGTCAGTATCAGGTTAAGAGTTGCTGAAGACAAGGAATATGACGTGTGTTAGCAAGGGGAACAGACAGAATGAGGCTTGTACGAGTATGTGCTATTTCTGAGCCTTCGTAGGCAAATGGCCTCAGAGAAGCTTGTACAAAGTGCAGAAGCTGTTTGGGAGTAGAGCCTCAAGTCTGTGCTATGGAGAAAGACAGCGGCTTAAAACTAACAAAATATACTTGGCTCTAAATTGCTTCATCATCCTATTGCTAGATGGCGGCACTGGTAACTTCAGAAAACCAGGAGGTAGCTTGCTCTTGTATCTGTGGCTTTGTGTGGAGCATGAAGAAGGATCGTCGAGGAGAGGAGGAGGTGGTGGTGGTGGAGAGGGAGAGGCAGCCTTGTGCGGGAGCCTGAGCTTCTGCTGCCTGCTTGGAGACTGCAGGCACCTTACCTTACTTATCTCTGCCTTGGTTTCCCAACTTGTGAGATGGAGATTATGATAATGATCTTTGCTGCAAAGCATTTTAAAATCCTCTGGTGAAAAATGCTATGGAAGAGCTAGGTACTGTTAATTTAACACGCGTTACTGGGAATCCCAGTGAGACTAGTTCCAAATTTACAGCTGGCACTGCAGCCTTCCTCACCATTCCTGTGTTTCCCTTGGGCTGAGAATTATTTTAAATCTCCACCAGTATTGAGTTTACCTTTACCACTATACAATAAAACCAGGATTTTTTTATCCTGAGTTCCATCCGGTTACGATGCCAAACACCACTGTCGCTGAGAAATACCATAGGTACTTGTTGTGCAGGAAACTAAAAGGTTTTGGTATGAAGAGCAAAATGATGGAAAGTTCAGAAGAAAGCTGCAGGGAGAGGAGGCAAGGCAGCTGCCCTGCCGGGGTGAGAATGGGATGTTACTGCATCAGATGTTCCCTTGGATGCTGATGTGCAAACGCATTAACAAGTATTGACCTCTGCCTGCCTGCTTTTCTTCAGGGCTTTCTGCAGTCTACTCCCATAATCTCTGCGCTTCTGCTCTGTTTCAGCTGTTTCTCCTACAGGTATCCCTGATGCGTATTTTACCTTATGTAGACCATTCTTCATAGGTGTAACAGCATAGCTCTAGGTGTGTTATTTTTAGTCACTTTAGCTAACAAACAGCTTATTTCCCCCCCAACCTTCATTGTGGAATTTAATGAAAACACATAATGCATAAAAACTTCAGTTTCCCTCCCAGAAATGCAATTTAACTTTAAAGTAACTTCCCTATTGTGTTTGTTCCTTTCTCAAGCAGCTGCACTGCAGCTATCAACAAAAGAATAAAGTAATTTTGCTTAGAGAAAACTCATTCCAATTACCCGTAATAATTTGTAGGAGATGTTTAAGTGTAAGGAAACAGCATATGCAGTAGCTCCCCCCTCCCATTCCCCTGTAAGTTTTTCCACTCATCTATTGTATCTGTTTTTCACCAGATATTATCTTAACGTAAAGAAGTGTGTAATTAAAGTCAGGGAAGGGAGGGAATTGAAAGGAAGAGTAAAGATATTTAGCAAGTGCATCATATGAAAGGTCATTTTTGTATCTCGCGTGGGAGGAAGAAATAGCAGAGGAAAATTGGGGAAACAAACTTAAGTGAGTGTTGCTGACTTTCAAGAGGCAAGTGTGGTGTGAACGTGGGTTATGTTCCCACTGTGAACGAGTCTTTCAGGAGACCAACAGGGACAAGTTGACAGATGGTCTTCTACTAATTCTGATTAGAAGTATGCAAATATATGTCTGATTTAGTAAATGCATTGTATTTAATTGATGTGTAACGTGCATATCATGGAAAGTGTTTTAATGAGATCTTAGTTTATTTTTCTTGGGCTGACTTTTTACTTCCTAGTCTGTAGGCAGAAATTTGGGATCTGTCTACCCTGGACCACGTTTGAAGGATAAGCTGCACCATTAAAACAGAGAGAGTTGAGCAGTTGGAAGGTGGAGGGATGTTAGTCAGGTTGTTCAAAGCTCTGTGGTTTTGTGTTGCTGTCTGTCACTTCAGTGATGGCGTAACAGCGTGAGAAGGAGCAGACTCTATCTCCAGGAGCCTTGAGTACTGCTGCAGCAAGCCCAGAGGAGAGTGTTGTTTCTACTGCTAAGTGAAAAAAAGGAAGGCACTTTCTTACTGTGGCTGTGGTTTGTATTTTCTTCCATTCAAGGCCTGTTTTTTTACGTCCAGAAGAAAGCATACAAAACAACATGATAATTTACACATAAATGGATAGTTTGTTTTTATTGGGTAGTAGTGAAGAAGAGGAGGAAGAGGTGAAGAAGAAAGTTTCCCTCACAAGAAGCAGCTCAGTTAAAGCCCTGTGCTCAAAATGAGGGAAAAAAAATCCTGCTAAGTTAAAATATCTCAATGCTGAAACTCTGAATGTCTTCTACTTTTTTGACAGGCTTTGCCTGCAGAGTGCTTTCACAGTATACGCCGTCCAGTTGGTACCTGCTTGAACCTCAGAACCTGTTTATTGTGACTGTGTGACCACTCTGTATCTGACTGTCTTTCACAGCTACTGGCTGATATTTTTACAGGGGGTTCGATTTCAGTCCAGATACCTCACTGAAGAACTGCGGAGGATTTTCACTGAAGACACCGACTCTGAAACAGAAACGTTTGAAGGCTTCCCTTCAAGCGAGGTGGATGTGAACAAAAAAGGAGTTCTGGTAAAGGCAGTCACCTACGCGTGAATGTATATGTTAACTTCTTTTTTTCTGTCTCTTCTGTGTAAGCCTCATGTTCTAGTAGGAGTGTTTCTGGTACACCATGATGTTCATTCTTCATGCTGAAGAAAAATACGTATTATCTTAAAAGAGAAGAAAAGCTTTATTTAATGTAACGTCACATATTAGAAATGAGAACTTCTTCCCCTGCTTGTAGACTGACTGTGCTGGGCAAGATTGTTCCTCTGAAGACAGCCATGTCTGTATCCCAGACAATATTAATATATAGATCTTGTGTCGGTCTCTGTACAGGGAGAAGTTGTGTACTGTGAACTTTTAAAAATTTGTTGATATGGGTGAATTTATGACAGTGCCTTCGGGTGGTGAGACTGCTGCCTAGAATTAGTGATTTAAAAATGACCTTTCTTGTTTCACAGCCAATAATGTAACATGGGATTCTTCCTGCCTCTAGGCGATGGAGTTAGACTTGAGTGATGAAGAACGCAATAATTTATTGGGTAGTGAGGAGGAAGAGGCGAAGAAGAAAGTTTCCCCCAAGAGAAGAAGCTTTGGCCTTCGTGTTGCCTTGCAGTTTCCCACCAGAAAGTCGTCTGAGAAAAAAGTGCCTGAACAGGCTTCTTCTAACTTACCTCTAAAGGACAGTGAACCCCTCACACCTCTTTCAAAAGAAGTAAGCTGCAAGCGGTGGGACAAACTAGAGGGCTCTGCTTCAGAGTCTGAAGAAGACATTAAAGAAACACAGGAGGAGAGTTCCAGTGCTCTGCTTAAGAGAGCTGTGAATATTAAAGAAAATAAAGCCATGGTAAGACTTAAGAGCAGTGCTTTGTTCTCTGACATTTACATCCGAGTACTTGGCTTCATCACACTTGAATTTTGGGGTCCCCACTGGTGCTGTGCTGTGACTTTGGGAAAATCTTGTGGTGGTTTGTGTTTGAATTTTTCTACATAGGGGAAGACCCTAGAGGACCATCAGCACTCAGACATTTACCCCTAAAATAGCCTCAAGTAGGACTAGCCTGCTCAAGTTTAAAACCAGAGTTGAACCAAGCATTTTGTATGTGGATGTGAACAAAGTTACAGATGCCCAAGTTGCAGTCTTCAGAACATACCAGAAAACCAGCCGGTCCCTTCAGGTGGTTCGTCGTGTCATTTGCACAATAGAGTTTCTACTTTTCATTTGTGTCTCTCAGATCTGCTGCAGTTACTGATTGGAAAGCCAGATAAAAACTGCGAAGGATGATAAATGTAATTTTTCTGTTGTGTGGCATGTGATGTTTACAGTTATGCTTTGCTATATAACTGCTGAAAGTGTGTGTATGTGTGTGTGTAGGTGCGGAAAAGAGAGACACTGATCGTTCCCTAACGCTTTTTCCTCTATTGTCCAAAATGCCACCAGCTCTCTTTGATTATCATGCTGCCGTGCAAATCTGAGTTGATGTTGGGTCCTCAGTGGCTCCTTCAGTTTTACTGTATTCCAGGAAAAGTTGCAGCTTCCAAGTAGTCTTGGGGCTCAAGTACGCCTCTTGGGTGTGTGGGCCTGCAGCTCCCACGTAAAAACTTCCTTTAGTTTTGTACCTGTGTTTCTAATCTGTCTTGTATCCTCACTGCTGTTGTGTTGGTCTTGCTGCTTTTCCACCCTTCTCACCTTCCACTCTTCCTTCTAGTTCAACCATTGCGAAATTCGTTGGCATCCTAGTTGCGGTACTGTAATGACATTAAATAGCTCTTGATAAATGCCACACTGAAGTATTTATTGAGAAATGCTGTATCCAGTTTGTAATCTCATGATTGGTATATGGCGGTCTCAGAGACAGCTAGCAGCTTGGCTCATGCCCGCTATTGCTGGCTTTTCAGAAGATAGCCGTATCCTGGCCTTCTGGAACAGGTCAGTATTTTTTTGGACCTGTCAGCCACTGCTTCTGTTGAAATGTACCTCCAGGACATCTCCTACACGGTGCAACAGATCATCCACATACGCCATGGTTAGGGGAACCGCCAGAGGGGCTTAGTTGTTTTACGACTTTGCAAATGAGTGTGTACCCATGTCGCTGTGTGTATCTGCACAAAGCAATGGGTATGTAGCATTACTGAATGTGGTTTGCAGCATTTGTGAAATCAGCACTAGCTGTCGTGGTTGAAAAAGTGATGTTCCTAGTCATTGCTACTAAGGACCACTGAAAAATGACGAGCAAAGTTTCCCTGCTGCAATGTCACTGCTTAAGGGGACGCTCCGAGTTCCCTGACACAGGTGTATTGGCAGTCATTCAGTGAAATAGCCCACAGGGAACATCTTACAGCCTTCTGGCCAAGGGCACCCTGTCTTTCTTTTCTCCCTCCTGTCTTACGAACTGTGAATTTCTTGTTATCAGTCATAGATAGTGTAACCATGTTGTAATGCGCTGCCTCAGTGCTATTTCGACAAGATTGGATGTAATTCTAGCTAATTCTAATTCCCAGTAAGAATTAATGGGAACTGTGAAGTTAGTACTGCCTGCAGAGTTTTGCTCGTTCAGGGGTAAATGAACCCCTTTTATGACCCCCACTTAAATAAAGTGCTTCCAGAAAGGTTTCATGCACTGAAACTTCATGTGTTTAGATATAATGTGAAGAGCGGATGATAGGTGTTGCTTATTTGCAAGTTTGCAGGGAGTTTTCAATGCGGTATCACTGTTGATTTCAGCTTGCCCAGCTGCTGGCAGAACTGAATTCCATACCAGACCTGTTCCCAGTGAAAACGCCCACCTCGACTCCTTCGGTAAGTCTCTGCTACTGGCTAGAGGTGACAGTCATTTTTGCTAGACTTAGGATTAATGTGTTTCCTGATGAAATGCTTTCACCAAGTTTGTTCTGGTTTTCTTTGGTTTTCGTCACTTTATTTGTGTAGATTTGCTATTGGTCAGTATTTAAGTAGCAGAGGTTATGTGGGGAAATGGAATTTCATAAGGTAATTTATGAAGAAATATGGAGACCAAGGCGAGATGCTTTATCATTTTTGCCCCAGAAATACTGTTGAGATGCTAGACAAATGTCTGTATGTGGGAATAAGGAAGAGTAGTTGCCTTCCTTTGGGTTTAGATCCTGTTAATTTCCCTCTTGCAGGCTTTCCTTTTAAAATCCACACTTCCCAGTAGAGCTATGCTGATGAAATTCAACCACTTCAACATGAACACGGAATGATACTGAGTTATTTCAACTGACTTTTCTTGGCTAGAGGCAGAGAACTGTCAACCTCTCTAGGTTCTCTGTAGAGTAATGTTTTTGCACATGTTTTATAAACTGAAGAGATTTGAGGAAAAATTGAAGGGCCGCGTCTTTGGGAAGCCCATGTAGAAATGCTGGTGTGGTGGTTGTCAGGTGAAAAGGTGAAGCCAAATTACACAGTCTGTGAAAGGCTGGAACCTTGCTAGCTCTAGTTAAATGCTGTAGAAACTTAAACATCGTTTGAACACATACATAAGCCTGCTACTTTTATTTAGTATCTTTACTTGGCGGGGGGTGGCATCTGGAGTATTTTAATTATCTCTTCTGCTTGGTTTTTGACTTCTAGCCTGTCTCGTGATGTGCTTTTCACTTCTTTCGAAGGAGATAACTAAGGAGTACAGTAGCAAGCAGACTTGCTTCCTACATCTTGTTTATCCTTCAGATTTAGTAGATACCTTTATGGTAGGTGTCTATGCAGGACTTCTGTTGCATCAATTTAATCATGCAGTAATTGGCAGTTGTGACAATATGAAAAGGGAATCTTGTGCCTCCTAGTAATTTCCAGATCTAGGAATCTGGAAGTAGGAGAAGAAACTTATTAATGTATTGAGATGTATTCAATTTGTCGGAAAATCTGAACCTTTAGCTGCTGAAAAACAGTGGGAACTAGCTTCTACCTTAATATGCCATACAAAAAATTTTGGTATAGTTCTGTGATGTTAGTTGGAATAGAATTTGACTGTGAAAGTGTGGTGTTTTAAAAGGATCAAAAAGGTATAGAATGTAGGGAGAACACTTAAGTATATACTAGAAATTTGAGAGCTTTGGCTTAACAAATAAGGAGTGGGAGAAGAACAGATTAATTCATGATAGTACAAGTGCGGTACAGACATTGTGAGATAATTTCTGGTGTTTAACACTACAAACATAACTGAAAGGACAGTTACTGGAATTGTCTTCTCTTTCCAGAAACAGAAGAAAATCCCAAGGAGGACATTTTCTGAAGGCCAGATAGCACGTCGCATGAACCCAACCAGAAATGCTCGTCCACCAGAGAAATTTGCCTTGGAAAAATTTACTGTGTCAGCTGTTAGATTTGCAGAACACTTCCGTAGCTATAGACAACAAAACCTCTTGAAGAAGAGACTCAGTGTGGTATTTGCCAGACTTTGGTATCTCCGGTAGTCAGGGATTAGGAAACATTCATTTAAATTGTTGGCCAACACTTAGAGCAGAGATCACATCCTACAGAAAGTCAATGAGAACCTTTGGTTTGGGATTAGCTACGGAAGAAGTTGTCTTCAGGCCTTCCTGCCTCATCTTTCACCCATTAACTGGGCTCTGTGACCAAAACATAACAAGGCAGTTTACTTATGGTCTATTATTTATTTATTATATGAAAAATATTAGAGCCCACAATGTAGAAGGCCTTCGAGTGACAAGGAGGTGGGTCTGGTGGAGGTGACAAAGCAGATCTTCTCTATCTTCAGGCTCAGGAAGAGTTAGCAAAAACCCCTCTCTGGAAATAGCAGAGGGATGATAGAGAGGAGTTATATAGCTGAACTGAGAATGAATAAAGGGAATCTGCACATACAAACTGCTGACATACTGGCTAGCCATTCAAAAGTTGCAGATTTTATTCTTCACCATTTTTTTTAAAATCTCCTGGTTTTCCCTCCCTTGGCTTATGGTGGTCATTTGTTTTAGTTATATTTACTGTATAGCCTTTATGGGGAAGACTTTTAAGTTTGTATTGGTACATGGTAGAGACTGGATCTCAGTTCTGCTTATAGGAACGAGTGCTGGATATAGTTGAAGCATTGTAGAGGGAACTTGGCTATTAAACAAGGTGGAGTAGCACTGAATGAGAACCTGGCTGGTAAAAGACTATTTTGGAGAGAACAGAGCTGATCTAGGGTGAAGGACAAATTGGGTGTTAAGAGTGGGGTAGGCGGAAGGCTAAGGATCAGTTGAGACTTGTACATGAAATTTGAAATCTCCTAGGCGGCATAATGACGGCCCATGGATTGGGGCCAAAGAGATTGATATTTGGAAGGAAAAAAAGAGCGCGTAATAGTGAGTGAAGGACTCTCTTCCAGATAACAAACAGGATAATAACAGAGGGCCGGGTATGGCAGGACTAACCTAAAACTTCAGTAAAGTCTTTTTTTGCAGGACCTTAGAGAAAAGCATTGGAGAAAGCAATTAGAGAGCATGCTAAGAGATTGAAGGAGCAAAGCATGGGAAGGCAGATGGTTATAGTTCCTTATTTTGAGAGGGAAGAAATGCAGTATGACGAGTTACAGTGCAGGTGTGCAGAGAATGCAAAGAAAAGGAGGTAACAGAAAAACATGTTAGGAATTTGTGGAAATAGAAGTAGCAATGATAGGAAGGAAGAACATACAAACAGAATAAATAATTAATGGAGTGCAGAGAAGATCAGGGAGGAGAGGGAGAGAAAGAGGCGGTGATGACTTGGAAACTTTATTCCCTGTTCTTCCAGTGGTCTATGAGCCTGTAGTCCCCTCTAGACTGCATACGCATTATAAATGAAAGAACTTGTCACCAAGTGTGGTGACAGAGTCTTCATGACACCAGACAAAAGGTGTTGAGATGAGTTTGTTTAGCAGGGGGATTGTGGAGTGCGCAAAAGAAGGAGATCATCAAAGTACTCATCTCACCGTCCAGTAGAAGATATTACTGAGGAGGACTTGGACAACATTGCAATCACTGTTAAAGACAAAATCTATGACAAAGTTCTAGTAAGTGGCTGCTGTTTTCTTTAGTGTGTCCATTTGCTTGAAATGGAAAGTTTCCTAACAGTTCATCTGGCGTTTGCTAAAGGGTATGCTTTCCTGAAGTTCTGGAGAGTGCAGTTTTGCGTTACTATGTTACACAAGCACAACTCGGAAGCTTTGCCAGGCTTCTGTGGGCTTGCCCATGCTGGTTGATACGCCCCACCAACTTTTTGCTTCTGTAAAGAAGTGCTTTCTTGCCATAGAGCTATTAAGTGGAATTTGCTATAGCTATGACTCACCACTGATAAGAGTTGACATCCCTTTTATCTCTCATTCTCACTTAATATAAATGTGGTGGTGGTGGTGGTGGTTGTGCCATTAAATAATAGTGATCCCTGCTGCTCCTTGTACCCCCTGGAAATGACATTTCTGTACGGGTTGGGTAGTTTCCAAAGCTCTTGATGGAAATCCTCCTCCTTCACCAGATTTGGCTGTTATTAATTGTCATAAATATCTAGATCAGCTTACTATATATTTCATGCTTCATGGTATTTGCAGAGATAAGTCAGAAGGTAATTTTCTGAATAGTTTTAGTTTTTTCCTAGGTAGAGGAAAGGATCAGAACTGTGACATGACGTTCATGTAGCTTGAGACTTCCAATGCAACTGAGGCTGGGCACTGTCTCTGTAAAATCCCTAGCATCTCTCCAGATAACTATATGATTTATCATAGTAACAGAACTTACGGTTCTTACTAACATTTTCGTTGCTGAATTTGACTTTGGTTTGAAGTTTGTGCTTTGCTATCAGCAGATACATTAGGAAAGTTCAGCAACAAGCATTTAAGATGTCCTTCATACATACGTTTTTCTCCTTCTTTCCAACTTTAGGGTAGTACTTGCCACCAGTGTCGACAAAAGACAATTGATACAAAGACAATCTGTCGCAACCAGGGCTGTGGAGGAGTAAGGGGGCAGTTTTGTGGACCATGTCTTCGAAATCGATACGGGGAAGATGTGAAATCAGCACTGCTTGATCCAGTAGGTATCATTTCTTGGGCTTTGAAAGAACATGTAATGAATTTTTTTTTTTTTTTTTTTTTTTAGTAAACTGTGATGAATACATGCTCATGCTAACACGGTGTTCAAAGCTTTTTGCCATGAGAAGAGCTGTAGTACTGTTACGACTGACACTGGTCTTGTTGGAACTCAAGTGGAAGGTGCTGGACCTGGGTTACAGTCCATCGGGCTTCGTGCTTTGAAGCTCCACTTGCTTACCAGATGGTGGAGGGCAAGTGTGAGAGCTTTTAAGAAAAGGAATCTCTCCTCATTCAGAAAAATGCCAAAATATACCCTTTTTTTTAATGCTCTCAATAACGTGGCATGCAAAGCAGGTTCCTTGTTTTAGGTTCTGATTTTTAAATATAAGAAAAAAGGAGTATACCTAAAAGTCTTAGGGTTGGCTCCCTTTTCTCTGTTGTCCCCTGAGGCACTGAGCAAGGAGAGGGCACAGGCTGCTGCCAGAGAATGAGACACATGGCTACGCAAAGACCTCTCGGCAGAATAGCACGCTCTGTGCTCAGCTTGTTCTGGGACCTCCTCTCCCCCATCTCTGCTTTAGACATGGGCTTCTGGGCTCTTCTGAAGGACAACGAAGAACTAATGGCTCCAAGGTGCTGGCCCACTGTGGCAGTGGCTGCTATACTGTAATGCAGGCTGTTAGCACCTGCACCTCTATGTTCAGTTGCTGAGCAGCTGGGAGATTCCTGACTTCAAGTACATGCTGGGTAATTCAGTCTCAGGAATCGGGCTGTGCCAGCAGGCAGAGCCAAAGAAACTTGTCACAGGGGGTACCCATCTTTTTCTAGGGAGTTCACTATGGTCAGCCTAACATAGGATGAGTTATCGTTAGGCATTAGAGATGCCTTTAGTCTATTATAAATTAATACTGAACAAATCAGAGAGCCTGAGTCTTCAGAGTAAGAAGCATTCAAGCAAACAGGGTAGTATTTAATCATTTCTTTAGTCCTGCAGAATTTGGAAAGTGTTAACAAGGTTGGCTGACTGATTCAGGCTTTTAAAACCTTGCCCTGAACAATGACGCAGTAAGGATGCCATACTCTTGTCCGTTTGAGCAACGGGAAGGCGAATATAACCTTACTCGTGGCTTGCCTTTAACCCCCCTCCCACATTCACCCCCTTGCAGGCCTGGATCTGTCCTCCTTGTCGCGGGGTGTGCAACTGCAGCTACTGCCGCCGGCGGGACGGGCGCTGTGCCACAGGCATGCTCATCCACCTGGCCAAGTTCTACGGCTATGACAACGTCAAGGAGTACCTGGAAAGGTGAGGGCGGTACCCCACGGTTGTTCCTATTCAAGCTGTTGTAGCCCTTTAAATAATACTTGACGTTTGTGGCCTGGGGCAGATCCTGGACGAATGCAAAAGAAGTCTCTTAGACTTGAGATTTCTTGTAGGCTGAAATCGGCTGCATTAAAGTGAGTCATATTGTCTGTGTAAACAACTCACTTGCTTAAGAAATTGAAATGCTTTTCCCTATTTTGAAATAAGTATTGATTGCTTCAAGCATATAGAAGTGCTATTTTGGAAGCTGTCATCTTCAGCCATGGAAATTGTCTGTTTATGGGGAACCTGAGTTTCCTAAAAAGCACTAACGCTGTTTTCTTGCATGTCTTCTAGTTTACAAAAACAACTGGCAGATGACAATTGAGAACACTGAACTCAAGCTGTGCCTGCAACTAGTTAATATGTTGACAAATTTTGACTTTAAAAGGTTATTACTATGTTTTATATAAGATAGAATTGTAGAGTATAGTATATGCATTTCTGTGTCGGGAACTTTTTGTATTGATGTGGTCTTATGCAAAAGATCTCTCAGGAAAATGTTTTGGTAGAGAAATCTACATGCACAGACCTATACGTTAAGTGAAATGGCACTCTTGAACTTTGAGTGGTTAATTTTTAATAGAGCTACACAATCACATGATGGTCAATTTGATCAATATTGTTATTTATATAATTGTGCAAGCTTGCAGAAAGGGTGTTTAACAACTACCTGTAAAGCATACCCCATCTTAAAGAAACAAAAAACCCCTTGTGTTCCAACTTGACCATAAAGATTCAGTTTTCCAACCCTTGCTTTCTGAACCTATTCCTCCACCTGTAGTTCATGGAACTTGTCCCTGCAAAGAAGGGAGGGGTACTTTCATCTGAATGCCGTTATATTCCAGCCAAAGCTGGTGCAACCTACCAGTGGGAGGAGGATTTTTTTTTTTTATTCCAAAGTGCAATTAATCACTGAAACATGAAAGTGGAAGAGTGTTTTGTAAAAAAAAAAAAAAAAAAAAAAGTGTTAAACATCATCCCAATAAAGAAAAAGAATTGCTCACCAGCAGTTTTTATGTGATGCACCTGCTGCTTGAACCAACTACCTTACAGCAGTCCTAACTGCTTAACTGGTTTAAATCACAAAGTTCAGGATTACTTTTTTTACATACAGTTCTACTTAGATGTTTTTTCATATGTACAACCAAGCTTTCAAAGAACTTTAAATGCAACATATTTGTATTGCAGTATGATTATGTTAAAATTCTTGTAAGATACACATTTCATTTTATGTAGAGAGAATAAAGAATAATCAAGAGGAGTGTTTTGTGACTCAAACTATACCCAGATGCTGATGTTTCCCAATTACTTTCCCATAGCTGGTGTAACAAAGGAATGCTTACAGATCAATAATCATTATGTGGAGAAACACATGAACATAACACTGACGGATGAGGAAATAACAACATAGAGCACATAAGTGTTACACTAAGGATTGTGTTTTTGTGAGGCAAATCTCCTGCTCCAGCTGACTGTGAAAAATATTTATCTCCTTTTGCTTTAACTACAAGGCAGATTGAGAAAGCAGCACGTACTATTGAAAGCTTAGTACTAAACTGCCAAGTGTAAAGCTACTCCTGCCAGAACCCATTTAGCTGGCTTCTCCTGGCTTTTCAGATTGAAAGTCCAAACGTAAGTTGGCCTTCTGCTTTTGGTTTTATAAACTGGACATTTGTAAACATTCTTAGTTTCCCTTTGATCCACTGGAAGAGCCCTTACAAAAATGACTGGCATGGCTGGAGTCAATTCCTTGAGCCGGGCTTCAGCTATGGTCCCCAGCTGGATGTCCCACCTGGTGCCTGCAATAAACATAGGCACATGGTTTACATGGTGTTCTGTAGTGCAAGACCAGAATAATTTGGGTTTAAACAGTTGCTTATTGCTAAATACTTAAAGTTACATTTGAACAGATATAGTGTAGACTCTTGTTGGCCTGCTATGCGTCATCTCTTTGTATGAATGTGGGGATGAGAATGTAGCAGCTGCCTGGACTGGACTCCTGGTTGCATCAGCATGTCCTTTTATTGAAAGCAGGGACTGGAAACTGCTTGCAATTGGGACTTTGAGTATGCCTGTAACTGAGTGTGCCTGTCAGAGTCAAGTGCTCAGATTTTCTCCTAATTCTCCACTAGTTTATGGTCAAGTATTCCAAAAGCTGGAGAACTACACTGGAGTATTTAGCGTATGTTTGTATCGTGAGATATCAATGCAGTGCAGTTATGACAGATGAGTTCTGTGCTGCTGAAGGGCCAAGCACTTTCTGAAAGCTGCTGGATTTGTTGTGTGTTCTTCTAACATAAACCAGCATATAAAATATTACAGATGCTTACTGTGGATTTTAAGAGTGTTTATGTAGCAAGAGGAAAGTTTATATTTGCAAATACCAACACAAACACAGAAACACAGCAACTGCAGCTCATAAGGTTCCTTGATACCTTCCTTATATCCAGAGGAGGAATGAACAGTATTGCCCTTTGAGTGACAGATGTTTTAAAAAAAAATCCTCTGAAAAATTCAGGCTACCTTTTCAAAAAGCAACAGTCAAATGACATGCTCGTCATTGCTCTAGTCCCTGAGCCTGACTTTCCCTTTGGGGCTTATCTTCCTTCCAAAAGTCTTGCTTTCCTTTCATTATATTCAGATCTAGTGAAGAGTATGAGTAATGATGATGTTTCCCTAATTGCCTGTTGGAGTCATTCACCTTTCCTCTAATTAGCTGTAACTTAGTTGACAGCCTTTCTAAGTTAAAACTTAAATCTCATTTTGACTGCGGGCCTTAATTGTCATTCCTAAACTAGATGCTTCAGTCTCAGGAAAAAAACGTCCCAAAAGAGCCAGGTACAATGTTTATTCTCTGAAAGTGGTTAATAGAGGGGTTGCAGCTCAACAGATGAACACCATTTCCATTCAGGACAGCCTACAGCCACATTACAGCTACCGCAATAATTGACTGCCTGGAAACCCAGATGAAAAATCTACTTGTGTCATACTTACTTACACATCACCCACTTAGGTATGTCATGCTAATACAGGGGTTCTCAAGTATTTCCTTGCTTCTTGGTATGTCTCCCCAATGGCCTATAAGTATTATGGCCTAGGAAATGAAAAATTCAGAGTTCTTTATATCTGTTTATTTAGACGACTTTCTGCCAAGGGGGGAGAAAAAAAAACAGGAGAAAGATGATTTTGAAAACAGCTTTTTTCATGGGTTTTTGGTTTGGGTTTTTTTGTTGTTGTTTGTTTTTTAAGCTGCAACTGTGTAGATGGCTTGATCCAGGTTACCAACATCTGGTAACTACTAACCCTATTCTGCACCTCTAAGAGCTGCAGAACATTTCTAGGTGATCAGTATTGGGGTGAAATTTAAAGTCTCTGGAATAGTTTTAAGCTTCTGAACCTCAATTAGATTAGAGCTGCTGCTTTACTACAATGCAGACCTTGTTCAGACTCAGTTAACAGTTATTTAAATGCATGAAGTATAGTTGGTGATTAGCACACCAAGCTGGTATGAAATTTAAAGTCACAGTGGACCAACACCAACAATCCACCACCATTCCTAAACTTCCTCGGTGCTGTTCGAGGATCACAACACTTTAGTCCAACTCCTGATGGAACTTACCTACCTAATGAAGGAAGTTAGAGTCCCTGAACTAGGTTACTGAGATCAAGCAATTTAAGTTTATTTCTGACCTTCCATGAAAAGCCCACAGATACAGGCTCCCTTGGTGGGTGGCCATAATCTTTGGTCTTTTTGGTAACATCTACAGTCAAGCACATCTTATCTATAAAGGCCAGTTGTTCTCGTGTGCCGTGCTCTGCATTACAGCTTTAAAAAATAATACTTTCAGTAATTCAATATCCAGAAAGTAATTTTAATGTCAGAACTGTTAAAATACCCCTCTTGGGCCTGTTGTGCACAAGCCTGAGACTGACTAGGGTTTGTTTTGTTTTGTTTTTGTGGTTTTTTTAAACTTTGGCCATTAGTTGAAGTAAGGCAAAAAAGCTGCATGAATGCAATTGTTTGAAAATAAAACATTCGGCACAGTACAGAACAAACCAACCGCCTCCTTAGCAGGGGAGCAAGACTGCATTCCTGTCTGCACTCTGAGACACCACCTCTCTCCAGCTGAGTCCCTGTTCAGAACGAGCCCGTGCTAACATCTCTTCTAGCCTGCACGGTCCTTGCGTCCCCCCAGCCTTTGACAGGAACAAGCGCCAAGAAGAAAGTTTGGAGAGAGGCAGTAAAAGGAGTGAAAAATACAGCTGGGCTTCTCTACGCCTGTGCACAAAATGAGCCCCATTTGGGGACCTCGACATGAGCAGCAGAGAGAAGAGGAGCTGCCTGCCAGCCCTCCTGCTGCCACCCCCTTCTGCTTCCAAGTACAGGGAGAGGCGCTTCAGTATCTGGGCTGCAAACACTCCCTGGGCCCCGCTGCCCATCTTCTCCAGGGAATGATGGCAGCCCGGCCACGGTGTCCTGTGAGGAGCTCCTGGTCACCTTTCTGCTAGGCTAGTGAAGGATTATATGGGTGTCATCGGTGGCCATGCAGAATTTGAGATAGCCTGTTATTGGGCTCTCATGTGGCTCCACTATGGTCTTCAGAATAAACACATGCATATGTGCTGTGATCATGGCAAGAAGTGAGACATCAATACACTGCTGAAGGTTTTTCATCGCCTACTGTGGCAACAACTACACAAAGAGGACTGGCAGACATTTATTTTTTTCTGTTTAACCTGGTAACTGCGTTAATACTAAGGAATAAACCAGAAGGGTACCATGACATACACACTGAATTAGTTACATAATAATGGCAGGAAAACTTGCACTCTTAACCTCTTTTAAACTATGAAATTCAGCTTTTATTTCCCTAGCTACTTTGTTGTCACGCTTCTGAGTAGACTAAAGACGCGTTTGGGTTGTTTCCCCTGCTTCCAGGAGATGGTTATTCTGATGCCAAGGAGTCTACCTACAGGAGAAGAACTTGGACTAGAGGATTTTAAGAATGGGACAACTCACTGCTAGGACTCCCTGTTACAGAGCAAGGTTGTTGTCAAGTAGATGTTAAAGAGAGCACATGATTAAACCCGAGATATTTCAGTCTTAGTTTTCCTGCCATTTTTGTTATTTCTTTACTTTTCTCCTGCTAGGAGTCCCTGTTACAGAGCAAGGTTGTTAAGTAGATGTTAAAGAGAGCACATGATTAAACCCGAGATATTTCAGTCTTAGTTTTCCTGCCATTTTTGTTATTTCTTTACTTTTCTCTTCAGCTTAGATACTTGGCTGATTTTTATCTTTTTATTTAAACTGTGCTTAACTCTCCAAGCAGCATCACAAACATAGCTAACACACAAACATAGCTAACACCAATGGTAAAAAATAAATGTTCGGCAGTGAAAGGATATGCCCGGTTCCTTACAACCATCACTGCTTACCTGTCAGAAAGGACTGAGGATTGAACAAGCCGGAAAGCCGCACCACTGCTGGCAGCACAAGGTCCTGCGTCCAGATCTCAAGTTCTCCGTATCATATGAGAAGATCGGTAACCCTAAAAGAGAAGCAGCAATAGCTTCTGCCTTAATCTATTTGTACGACTTTTTTAGGCAAAATAAACTGCAGACTTCAAGTGTAAGAGTCCTTTTGTCTACAGAGAAGGTACACGGCTGAAGTAACCCGAAAGTATATGCTTATGTAAGC